TACAAACTCCAACATCCATCAATCTAAACTTTCGCATTTGTAATACTACTAGCTGTTGCTCGCAACTTCGGCCGCGTGATTAAATAATAAAAATATATCGCCTATGTTACACACAGATAAATTACCTTTCTAACGGTAAAAGACTTTTTAAAATCGGCTCAGTAGTTTTTGAGTTATTTTAACAAAAATACAAATCTTTTCTGTTAATAATATTAGTATAGATTGAAACTAGTAAGACGTAGTTTTTAATACAGTAATCTTTTGACTTTTATTTCAATACTGTAGGGATCTTTTTCACGTACTACTGCCGGATAAAATATACCGTCCGAGTGAACTCACACCCAAATGAAGATTTGTAGAGACATAAGTAATTATTAGCTACTAATTGAACACCGAAGGAATGCTTAGTAGACACTAATCTGAGAAAAGATGTATGTATTAAATTTCAAGTAAGTACAGTATTTTATTTGAGAAATTTTATGTTAAATGTTACATTTAGGCAATTTATCCAAACAAATGTAGATTCATTGTCACACTAAAGACCAATAAAAACGGACAGCATGAAACAGACTATTGTATTATGCGCTTAAGTCGACTTTAACTTTTACCGTCTACATCTATCAAATAAAATAAACTGATAATATTCACAAAGGTAGTCCTTATTTTGTTTATATTTTCGTGAGACATTACTTGAAAATTAAATACGGCTTAACTCACGTTTTATAGTCCGGTGACGGCACCGACTAGTTTTGGACACATCTGGGTTCCATTTTCAGGGCAAGTATTTGCCGCTTCGCAAATCTGTCTCCCAAACTGTTCGGTGCCGTTACCTAAAGAAAAACGTCTTGAATTTTCGCTTAAAGTAGTCCTCATCAAGGTATGTAACTGTCAAATGCACAAATATAACATAACTAGCTGTTGCCCGCGAGTACGTCCGCGTGCTATTAGAAAACATACGAACTATATAAATAACAAAAAGCTACGTATCCCTTGTGAACCGGACATTTCTCGGAGATGAACCTTATCCCATCTGTACTCCTGACTTTGTTTTATATCTGTGCCAAATTTAAATAAGAAACCGTTTCAGAATGATCGAGTAAACATTAAAAAACTAAATGAATACTACGTGAACCGTAACTATTCCAGGGATAAAAGTAGCCTATGTGTTTTCCAGGCTATGCTCTAAACCTGTGCCAAATTTCATGGAGATCCGTTCTACCGTTTAGGCTACAAACGCTAACAAACATCCATCCATCCATCGTAACTTTTGCATTTATATGACGGAATATATGATATAGTAACGGTTAATTAAACACAAATTCAAGCAAGCAACTGCGAAACATTGTCCAAATACCTTGGTCGTAAAGACCTTAAAATGTTAAGGATCTGTAACGGAGTTTAAATAACCCAATTACTTTGTTCCGTAAAACGGCCACGTAGCGGCCCTTAGTTTACATTGTACAGGATAAGGGACGTAATAAGATCGGCTCACGCGTCCTGATAGGGATTTATAGACGCATAAGTAAAGGTTACAAACTAATTGGACTTTCTGGGTATACTTAGCAGTAATTAGGAGAGACTCGATATAAATATATAGTAGTTTCGTCCGCGTGGAATTAATATTATAATAATAAACATAGCCTATGTTACTCGCAGATAAATTACCTTTCTTACGTTGAAAGAATATTTTAAATAAGCCTAGTAGTTTTTGAGTTATTTCAATAAAAAATACAAATCTTTCTTCTTTATAATATTAGTAGAGACTAGCTATTGTTCGCGACTTCATCGAGAAATAAAAAAAACAATGAAAATCATAGCCTATGTTAATCACTGACAAAGGGCCTTTTAATGGTTAAAGAATTTATTAAATCAGTCCAGTGTTTTTTGAGTTATTTTAATACATACAAAAATACAAATCTTTCCTCTTTAATATCAGTATAGAATAGCAAAATTTGTACTAATATTTGCTTATACTCAGTTTATTCCTAGCTTTAACTTTATACCGCGTTTATTAGTAAGGCTGTAAAAGTATCACCTTACTAGTTCTACAGATCTCATGTATTACATGCAGCCACGGCCACGACACACTCATTAGCCGGTAAAGATTACCTATTTTTGCTCTTCCCTTCAATAATTTGATTAAAAATACATTTAAGCTGTCAGAAATTAAGATTCACATCTTTATACGTGTAATATAACTGGAGTTTGTAGTAAAAATTTAACATAAAGCGAATAATAGGGAATTTATAAGCAAAACAAAGTATGCTGTCGCGTTATAAACTTTAAAACAATGTCAGCAATCTTTTAGTATATACAATCAACCGTAAAATTGAAGGAATTTTATAGTCGAATAACTTTGCGAGGGACGATTATTTGCGAAATCCTGTGTTTTATGGCCAATCCCTGATCACGGAATCTCAAAGTTACAATCATTTTATAGAAATTGCACGATCGTTCTTGAAATTCGACGGTTGAAAGGAAACTCTTTTAAGCTTTCGAGTATTTATAGAATGACAAGAACGCATACTTTTCATATCACTAATGTTTTTACCACAAATATGTGATTACTTTGTATTAGTACATCCCAAATAAGTACTGTAGGATACTAATTACCGCCACCATTATTTATTTACCGCCACTGCATATGGTGAACGTACGAGTATAATCTATCTATAAAATATCTATACTTCTATACTATTATAATAAAGCGTAAACACACACTTCTTCGTTGCCTAAGATGTCAGCAATTACAGCACATTTTTGAATAACTCTATATTTTCACGCCATTAAACTTAGGGGGTATAGATTTTGGATAAAAACCCTATTGTGTGAAAGAGACCATAAGTTACTGCAAACATCAAGGAAGCAAGATTGCCAAGATTTGTCATGTCATTTTGACATTTGCTATTGATAATTTGACAAATGTAAACAATAAAATAAAATTTTCATAATTTCATGCGGATGACGCCGCACAGGAACAGCGAGTACCATGTAATATACCTCGAAACATTTTCTTTAAGACATTTTATATAAATAACCTCCAAATGTACACAAACTAAATAAAATAATGAATTAAATTGGTTTATTGGCAATAAAGAGCAATTTACTTTTTATGACAAAATTGTAAAACAGGCAACAAGCATTTTCAACGAACTAGTGAAAGGAAAAAAATGCTCTACTTTAAATTGAATACAAATACCGTTAAAGTGGTACAATAAAAAACCCACTTTCAATATTATGGGCGACATTTTCACGTCGGAGTTAAAGCTGTAAAATTTTTGACAACCATTACAGATGTCTTCTAAGCCGATATTAAAAATTCATTCACTATTACAAATGTAATCTATCTGTAACATAATCTGTGCTTTTTTATTGTTTTTTTTAATTCCACGTGGACAAAGTCGCGAGCAACAGCTAGTGTATTAATTTGGAATTACCATTACCGTTTAAGACCTTTTACTTATCGGTTAAGGATTTTTTTTCACTTAGGGCCTGTCCCACTAGATTGACTGATAACAATGCAACGCGTAAAATATGTGATGGGAATATCGGATTTTGTTCCCTTAGCTGACAGTGACGTTACTTTTAAGATATCTGAGCCTAGCCAGTGGTGGGACAGGCCCTTTAACTTCAATTAAAACATCTGTCCTACAAACAATACGCTGTTAGTTAATGAGGAAATAGTATCGACATATTTATTTTTATCTACACGATTCCGTTGAATGTCAAATGTCATGGCTCGCAGTAACATACTATTGTAATCTTATTATTATAAATGCGAAAGTTTAGATGGATATTTGTTAGAGTTTGTAGCCTAAACTGCTGAAAGGTTCTTGCTGAAATTTGTCAGAAATGTAGAGTATAGTCTGGAAGAACACAGACTACTTACAGTTTTTTTATCTTACACGGTCTGAGTCACGGCCGAAAGCTAGTGTTATAACATTACATCAAAATTAACTCTCGATTCTGTCAGTTTTCATTGAAAAGTAGCACTGTTTAGTTAAAACTGTAGGCAAAATTTTAACTGTCTGTTGAAATGATAAGGGGCTCTAGATTGTATCTAAGAGTTACACTTATCCTAATTGTTGACAATAAAACAAAAATAGGAGTAATCTTAGACCTCTTGTAACTATGTAAACATTCTAGCTACATAAAAAATAACGTCTTGTTAAATCTAACAATAGGCTTAAGGTGAATATTCACTGACTAATTACATTATAATAGACGTATACTGTTACTTTAAATTTGTAACAGCGCCTTAAATAAGTCCACCTTTGACAAACATCTGTTGTGCGATTGTCAATTGTTTCGCAGCCAATTCAACTGTTTAGTTGCACAACTAAAAATCGAGTAGTGTGCGCGCCATCTAATCTCATAGTAATCAAAGCGCGACTAAACAGTTGTGCGGTAGTTTAGTCAAAGATTGTAAGCGACTCTTACTAAGTGAAGTGTTTGGAGATTCATTTTAGTATTCGGCAGTTAGCGAGCAAACATACAAATTTAGGGTTAGCGCGCATTATTCCACTCCTAGCTCACCAGGCGACTGCGAGTCGGAATAGTATAATACCTGGAGTGCGGAGTAAATCAATGTGCGTTTACATCTTGTAAGATGTATCTTTGAAACTGTTACAATTACATACAGGTTAAAAAAGAAACGCAAACTAATTTAAATGAAAGACGTCATTTTTTACTTCAGTGTAAACTCTCCCTTATAAATCTCACTTATTAAAATAAATGGGTTATCCTTTTTAGAATGTTTGTATTTTTTTATAAAAAGCCTTCAGCAACTGAGCTCCTAATTGCGTCTTGTTTAGACGAGAAAAATGAGCAGATTAATGTTTATTTTGGAACAAAACGAGGCGTGTGTGGCGTAGATAGAAGTTTTCTTTTTATTGAGAATAAAAGAAATAGAACAATAGAACAATAAATTAGTATTACGAAGTTTTTACAAATAAAAAGGCATAGGAAAGGTTTGGTCGAATAAGTTAGGCAACATTGCTATTAAACAAACATTTATTTTGATAAATTTTCTTATTACATTGCTTAATGTAAATACGATTAGTTTTACGTAAATTGACAGGATTTTTTTTTAATAATCAAGACAAATTTTAATTTATTTGGTCTCTGTAATAATAAATTTTTATTTTAATGAAAACAAAATATTTTGTACATATTTTTACATTTTTTTTTGTTGTAAAAAGTAGTTTAATGATTTTAAATAAATCACAGCCATTCCAAAAAAACTTATGAGGAATGTATTTTAGGAAAATGTTGGGATAACAACTAACATAAATAAACTAATAAATAAAGTACTACTTAACTTATAATACTTTTCTTAAATGCTACCAGATATATCCTATTCACATATAAAGGCACAATTTCGCGTACATTTTACTTCTGAGTATATTAAAAACAGAAATAGAAAAAAAACCTATTTCATAAAGTTTTTTCTTGTCAGTATTGAAATAATTTAACATGTGAAATACATAATAATCGGAAATAAGATTTCCACATATTCGAGAAAAATATCTTATCGATACTGATTAGTTAACGTAGATTGGTCACGTAGGTATAAACGTGTTCAATTCTTTCTCGCAAGCCTCTGAGCGGCTTGTAACGTGTTGTGCATTAACATCGCGACTGTCATAGGACCCACGCCGCCAGGAACTGGGGTTATTGCTCCAGCAATTTTACTAACCTCTATAAATAAACACAAACATAAATACATGTTGAAAAGTAACACTAAGTTGTAGTAAGAGTTGATTATAGATAACAACTTTTCCATTACTAAGGGAATATTTAAAACTTTTATTATTCCATAGTAAAAATATATACAAATGCCTGTGAGGTATTATTTGTTAAGTAACATCTACATACCTTCGTAATCAACGTCACCGACGAGTTTCGTCTTCCCTTGTTCATCCGTAACTCTTGTAATTCCTACATCTATAACTGTAGCGCCGGGCTTTATCATTGTTGCCTTTATTAATTTAGGAACACCTACAAAAATCAATAAATCATTTACAACTAATTATGATTGAACCTTAAGTTTATAAAAAATCTAGTTACAGATGTCTACAACGAAGGAATTTAAAAACAAAGATGTATTTACATGACTTAAACAGTGAAACAGTTTATGGAGGCCACAGCCTTAGCAAGGCAAAATAACACAGGTTAATTAATAAATTGTACATACCAGTAGCAGTTATAATAATGTCAGCGTTACGGCAGAAGAACTCCAGTTGTTCCGCTGGTGTATATCTGTGACAGACTGTCACGGTCGCATCCATACCTAATGCGCTATCATGTTTGCCATCGCTGTGTAGCATCATAGCGATCGGCATGCCGACATTCTTCGAACGACCGACAACTACCGCATTCCGACCGAACGTATCTATTTTATACCTAATAGACAAAAAAATCACTCTGTTTTTATCTACTCTTTGAATTTACGTATAAAGTGCATAGAGTAAGTTATTTTGCATTCATATTTGTATGGATTAAGAAGTAAGAGTTACGAATAAGCGAATGATATGAACATTTCATCACATTGGCTTATTGAATGCTGGGGAAATAGGTCAACCGGAGATCTGTTTCATTAGATCGTGCGATATATGGAATGGAGAGCGGTTACGGATTAATAATTGTCTATCCAGTGTTACCATTTCAAAGGGAACGTGAATCGCTAGTTTAAATAACGATTAAACATTGAATAGAAGTAATATGAATGTTAACTACTTTTTTATCATAGTAACATTTTGCTATCTTAATAAAGGATTATTTCCAACCGTCATCCCGCTCTTTCCCACTTGAGAATAAAGTTTCATTCGTCCCACCTTTACCAATATGAAATAAAATAATTTCCTACCGTGACCAAGTCGCAGAAGGTGGGACGGACGAAACATTTTATTCTTATCTGTTTCCACGTGGGGACAGAGCTGGGTGACGGTTGGGAATAATCTTATTATCCGTAATAAACACATACTTTTTTGCTTTACGTTGCCCGATCGGCCTAATTGGAAACAATTTGTACTTAAATATACAGCAACCATAATATTAATACTATCTATGCAAATTATAAAGAGGAAAGATTTGCATTTTTGTATCCGTTAATTCAAAAATTTCACCAATAAATAACTACGTTATCACTAACATAGGCTATATTTATTAAAATTCCTAGTCTTACTATCATAAATACGAAAGTTTAGATGGATGGATGTTTGTTAGACTTTGTAGCCTAAGGCTGAAGGGATCTCGATGAAATTTGGCATAGATGTAGAATAGTCTGGAAGAACACATAGGCTACTTGCTTTTGTTTTTTTTATTCCGCGCGGAAAAAAGAAAAAGGTGATTTAAAAAATTTACCTTTTTAAAATCTCAACAACAGCAAGCGCAGTAGCCGGCACAAACGTTGGCATATCAAGACAAAGTTGACCAACATTGACTATATGAAAACCATCAACATCTTTTTCCGGTGCGACCGTATTGCACACTTTCCTTTCATCCATTGTTCCTGGTAATGGCAATTGTACAAGAATACCATCAACATTTACATCGGTATTCAAACAGTTGATCGCTGTAATCAATTCATCTTCACTCAATGTTGCATCATATTTTATTGTTGTGGCGTCAATTCCAACGTCTATTGCCGCTTTTATTTTATTTCTAACATATGTGTGACTTGCGGGATCTTCACCAACTATAATACAACGTAGAGACGGTGCACGGTTGCCTAAGTTAATATAGCTTTGAATTTTAATCTTCAATTCATCTTTGATTTCTTTAGCGAGCGCCTTCCCATCTATTATTTGGGCCATGATTCTATTACAAAAGGAAACATTTTTTTTAATTATACAAGACAAATGCAAATTATGTAACAAGTTATATTAAGCGATTAAAAAAATATTTGGCTACATTGCTAAGCGATGTTATTTTTGTGCTTGAGTACATATTTGTCCTAATATTATTTTAATATGGTGAAATTATTAATACCATAAAGCCAAACTAAAAATCTATTAATACAATTAACAATATAAAATTAAAACCTTATTTTGTCTACCATTGTTCATTATATTTATTATTTGTGCTTTGAGAAAAAAGTGAAATGTCCTGTTTACTACTATTTGGTTAAATATTGTGCCATTCAAAGTTAGCAGCTAAAATACCTTAGGTATAAAGATATTTTAATCTCATAGAAAGAATGAGAAAAGTTAAATATATACAATGCAATGATCATGTAATAAACACAAAATATATCATTAAGTAATGAAAACAAACTTTAGTATAAGGGAAGAAAAAGCAAATTTAAATTGAAAATATTATATGTTTGTTTTATAAATTTAAATAAAATTAAAGCGTAAAAAAGTAGTTAATTGTTACATTAATCCAGAATCTAAATTTCAAAGGATATTGCTATAAAAAAACTAGAAGTATCTAAATAAACAGCTTAACAGATAACAAAGAAAATTAATCAAAAGGTAACAGGTAAAAAACAGAAAACACAGACATAAATAAAACACCTAAAATAGCTATATTACCTGGCCGCGCCCATCGACTCATAATATGTATGACTTCTCATCTTGGTTGTCAAAAATGAACTGACAATCCGAAAGCAAATAGTTTGCCTCATCGCCTACTGTTGACGTACACAGGTCATTAGTTCAACCGAACAGACGGTTTAATTTATGATAACATAAAAAATATTCAGTTCATAACCGGTAATGTCTGCATTTTTACGGATAAAAGGTGTTAATTAAAGCAAACTAGTATGAAAGGTTATTCAGTTCATATATCAATGTGTATCCATTTCAGATGAATATAACCGGTTAAAAGTGGTTTACATTCTTGATAAATAGGTACAATGAATTATGGTGTCATCGTTAATAAGAATTTTTAGATATAAGTATATTGTCATCTCAATAACAAATTTTATTAGCAAACTAGCTGTTCCCGTGCGGCTTTATCCACATAAAATTATGAAAATTATATTTTATTGTTTACATTTGTCATATTATATATTAATAGTAAACGTCAAAATGACATGTCATGACAAACCTTGGCAATCTTACTTTCTTGATGTTGGCAGCAACTTATGGTCTCTTTCCCACATTAGGGTTTTTATCCAAAATATTAACCCCCTATGTTTAAGGGCGTGAAAATATAAAACCTAAAGTGTGACGTAAGTGTAGGGCTTTTTGTTAAAAAAATAATTATCCAAAAATATGCTGTGATTGCTGACATCTTAGGCAACTAAGAAGTGTGTATTTACGCTTTATTATAATAGTATAGATTAGCAAATGTAGAAACTAGCTATGGCTTCAATTTAAAAAAAAACAAAGCAAACACTAGGCAAAAGTATAATTTTTTTGAATTAGTATCTCAATTTGGTAGTCAGGTGAGGGCCTTAATTCTTCGTGATATTTAAAATAATGTTTATTGATATGAAATATGTATCGTTAATTAGATTTGAATTTATGTGCAAAAATAACCACTATGTCAATTCAACATAGATATTAAATAAGATTATACAAGTTATTTCTTCAAATAAAAAAGCAATATGTTAATTTATAAACATGTTTATATTAATTACCAACAATGAAACGTAAACACAAAATTAAATCATTCGATTGTTCTCCGTTTAAAATAAGAAATGTTTACGCATATATCAATTGATAAAATTCAAGACGAAAACAACTTACATAACTTGTACTATACATAATTAAGACGTAAGTTAGTAAATTCCAAGTATTGGAGAGAAAACAGTATGTTCAAGAAAAATAAAAAACAATTAGAGGAATTTTAATGTTCGAATAATTTAAATAAAAACCTACTTACATATTTGATCACAAGTTATCCTGAACAGTAATGAAAATATAGTAATAGGTTCCACACAAAACTACTGTTAAAATTAAAACTTTAAACTATGACGAGGTTAGAAAATAACCTAACCACAATCCACGATTTGCTGCCACTGAAGATGACATTGACAGTTGCGTCAAACGAAGCCTTTACGAAGCATGCTAGATTATACATAACTATACTAGTATGTTACGAAAACATCACCTATTGTTTTAAAGGTCTTTGCTTTTAGAAAATGTTATTAAAATAGAACTCCGTCGGATTAATTATAAGTTAAAGATAATCTGTAAACTTTAACGGTTTTTAAAATATGCCGGTATTGACATGGTTTACTATATCTAATATTTGCCGGTTTGAAGTATTCAAATACAGGCGCCATAACGGTTCTTCTTTAAGTAATATTTTTTTTTATTAACTATAACTAATCTCCAAAAGTTAATCATCAGCATCAAGCAAATTCAAAATTATTTTGTCCGAAATGTCTGGTTAAATCACATTTTACTAAAACCTCCCTCGAATGAATAAATTATGATTGCCTCCTGTAAAGCGATAAACATTTAATAGACGTATGTTGCCATAGCAATAGTTGCTAATAGTTAATACTATTATCATACTAGTTGTTGCCCGCGAATTTATTTCTAGTGTATTTATTTATTAGTTCCTGGAAAAAAAATATATCTTTAAACAGCTAATTTCAAGTTCGAGTTATTCTAATACATGCAAAAATCATTAAATTCAAATATTACCTATGTAATATTTTGGCATAAATAAGCATTATAGCAGCATAAATAATAAAATATAAATTAGATATGTATTGGGTTTGCGGTGTTTTTTTCGTCTATCAAGATAAATTCATGCAACAAATGATTACGCAACATTCATTCAAATTTATATGAATTTCGTTACCAATTTAATATAGCAATAGAACAAACAAACTGATAACATTATTCTGTTTTATAGTATCAACAATTATAATCATCATTTGAATGCGTGGAGTGGGCGCGGTTGTGACGCGACCGATAGGTCAGACATGTCAATGTCTTTCACAATTATGTGAACTATTGTGTCGTTATAGTAAACGCAATACAAATATCTTGTTACTATACGATATAAGCATTTTTACAAACATTAAACGGAAAACAAAACAATTTTACGTTATCGATTTAGGAAGATTTAGTTTGTTTTAATTTTTAGTATAGTTTTGTGAATCTGTGGTGCGTCATCGAAACCGCCTAATTTTAAACAGACTTAATTTCCGTGCTCATACTTCCTTTCATTGGTCTTACTGGATAAAGCTATGGGTATCTTTTTAGAGTACATATGTTAATTCTGGAATACGCATTCTAGTAGCTGGCAGGAATGCACACGTACCATTTTGTTTTCTTTTTTCACTTGGTTACGCTTTGTTTAAAAATATAAATAACCACTTACCCGAATGCTTGTATTGTACCTACAACTGTAACTGTCATTGTAATTCAATTTAATTAAAATAATTATTGATAAGATATAATTGCATTGTTTACAAAATATCTGTTTGTCAATTTGTCACTCAATGTTAAACTATAATTTCGTTTACCGCTTGCTGGTATTTTTGGCATCGTCCACTAGTAGAAGTCAAATAAAAATTTTGTCATACGAAGTCAGGAGCCCAACTATAGTTACGTTATCTTTTGGGAACCAACCGCAATTACTGATTGTACCCTATCAGCTTCGCAAAGTGCTATTTTTGTTGTCAACTAGCTGTTGCCCGCGACTTCGTCCTCACAATGTTAAGAAAAAAAAAGTAGCCTTTAATATGCCCGTCTATGTCAGCTACCCTTTAGTGAAAGTCCGGTCGAAATCGACCCAGTCATTTCCTAAAAAAAAATTAAATGCGGTTTATCAGCAACACAATTACATCATCTTCCCGAAATCTGGAATTTTTCTTTAAATGTTACAAACAGACCCTCCTTTTTTATTATATGTATAGATTGCATAATTTATGTTACTAGCATATAACTAACACTTAAGTACTCTTATAGAATACTTAATTGACTGTGGATACTAAGTTTTCATAAAGATCTTTTGTAGTTATTTGTGTAAAGCACGTAATATTACACTGCCTATTATATTTCTTTTCAAATATCTTGGTGGCTCAAGATTTCGCGCTGTGCATTGCCTTCCCCCCGCATCCGTCTGCGCCCCACAACACCTATGTTCTGCGCGGCGTGTCGCGCAAAGTTCAAACCTCCAAGATATCTGATTATTACTATACAACATTAGATGTCATTTGTTACCGTAATCACCCGGTTTCGTTAAGTAACATTTCTCATTTTTGATGTTGAAAGGAACAGAAATGTTTACTCTTAATGTCGGCTTCTTTGTATGGTACTGATGTACTTATTTTTTTAATATTTAAAGTTGATTTCGTACTTCTATAATTTATTAGAGAAAATTATATTAACTTTTATTTTATACTAACAATCGCCCGCGACTCCGTCCGCGTGGTATTAAAAAAAACTAAAGTGTAGCTTATGTATTTTTCCAGACTATCCCCTGCATATATACCAAATTTCATCGAAATCCTTTCAGCCGTGTAGGCTACAAAATCTAAAAAACATCCATCCATCCGTCCAACCATCAAAACTTTCGCATTTAAATTATTAGTAAGATCATGCATCAAGTGACTGCGTGATCTTGGACCAGATCTTTTAAACTCATATAAGCAATTTGAAAACAATAAGTACTAACAAATTGCAGTGTATGTAAAATGTTACTAGGCAACATAATGAAGACAATGCTATCAGTTTAATTTTTTTAAGTTATCCAAAACTTGTATTACATTTCCCTTTTTATTATGTTTTTAATATTTTGTTGTCTAAGTAAAAGGTTCCACTTAAAGTGGACACTTCTGAGCGTTCAATGTCTATAACAAAAAGGGACTAACCTCAATAAAACTCAATATTAACTTTGCTTACAAAAAGGACTTTATCTTGGACTGTTTTTAAGTGCGTTGTATAACTTTGAACCCTTTTTAGTTCAAATAGTTTGTTCCAAAGAAAGCTTTTAAACATCTTTACATTGTTAATATAAAATAGATTTGTTTTTATAAAAGTAGATTGCTACTTAAAACTTTACTTGAACTTAGCTTACTTGTCAATTTTGGATGGATGGATGTTTGTTAGAGTTTGTAGCCGAAACGGCTGAACGGATTTCGATGAAATTTGGTATAGACGTAGAGGATAGTCTGGAAGAACACATAGACTAACCACATTTGTTTTTTTTAATCCACGTGGACGGAGTCGCGGGAGAAAGCTAGTAAAAAAATAAATCTATAATAGTAATAAGAGAACATTAATTTATTATTTTTAAGTTAATCTTCTAATATTTTTGCGTCGCGAGAATCGAGTAGCGCGTGCTCCATACACGATAAATCGTCGAAACAAGTTGTCTACACGGCTGACGCGACGCGTATTTTCATATTTTCAACTGATTTTCTCCACCGTATTTAAAATCGCAGCGACTTCTATCACGACAGACAGGTTGCAAGCGACTGTCTTTGGCATGACCTCTATTATATTGTGTAAGTTTAGCGACTGAAATCGGCATATTTATTTTACATCACCTAGTGTACGAGAGGCCTTATTTAACATATTTTCTGCTGCTTTATTTGGGACTGTTAAAAACTTTTTCAAACGACATCTCATATCGTTAAAAAGACATACACAGTGAAAGTACTAAGAGCGGGCGTACACCTTTGTTTAAACAATCGCGCAAGTGTTGTGCGATTGTCGATTGTTTCGCAGCGAATTCAACTGTTTAGTTGCACAACTCAAAATCGAGTAGTGTGTGCACCTCCATATAAGCTCACATAAAAGCGTGACTAAACAGTTATGCGATAGTTTCGACTCTCGACAAATGTGTGCGCGCGCTGTTCTTTTGATATATTTAAATCGGATAGAGCCTTGAGTCGATGTTCGAATTTATGCTCGGATTTCAGAAATAATTACGTGATTAATTAACTATGTCAAAGCGTAATCACTGAACTGTATAATGAAATTCACTAAACCAATGAAATTAAGGAGTAACAATCTCGTTTAGTAATTTTATTAACCTTCTAATATTGAAACGGCATTAATTTTTAAAAAATG